TCCCAAGTAAGAAGGAGGCAGTTGCGTGCCACCCAAAGATGGCAGATGACTGCAGTGCTTTCGTTGAGTGTGTGCCCTGGCACAGTTTGTCACCATCTTTGAGCTGGCTACCCCTGGCCTGCTTCCTATGATAGTCAAAATTTGAAGTCAAAGATAGTTGACTGCTATGCAATGCATATGCTGCCCTAGTTTTCGTTACCTCGATGGGATCCTTTTGAACTGGGTGGAAGCCCTGGTGCTGAAGAAGTCCAAGCAAGGGTTGCCAATGGCCATTCATGCCAGTGTCAAAATGAAGCCAGACTCACTGCCTCTGAGTGGATTTGGACCTTTTAGAACAGGGTGAAACTGGTTCAGTGGGTTTCCAAGACTGTAAATTGCTAAGAAAGTAGAGGGCCTACTCTTTCTGCGAGTGGTTGGTGCAGTCAAACTGTTGACCTTTCAGTTAGTAGCTCAACAATGCAACCCGGTTGCTGGTGGTGAAAGCCACAGGGCTCCTTCCCAGGATCAGAGAGGGGCACACCAGTGTATCTCTAGGGGGCGCACCCCCTTCAGCTCCTATCAATCGCTACCACCAAAGTGAGCAGTCCCGATGTTCCATCCAGATCCTCTAAATTCCCTCAAAAAATTATATATATATCCAAAATATGAAAAACCATTCCTCAGAAAATTGTTTGAAAATAACTATCTCATCATAGCAAGTAATCTAAAATCAATGGCGAGGAGGGCGTAGGATGCCTGGTAGGGCTTGATCAAGGGCAGTGTAACCAAGAGGAATTACTGAAACCCAAATGAAGGCCTAACATGATAGTGGGACAAAGGAAAGTAAAAGGAAATAGAGGAAAAATCTAGGAGGCAAAGGGCATTTATACAGGCATGTACATATATAAGTATATTTATATATAATGATAGGGAAATAGACCTATGTACCTATATTTATATGTTAAGTATCAAGGTAGCAGACAGACATTGGGCCTCTACTCAAGTACTCCCTCAATGCAAGAACACTTTATTCTAATAACCTGGCATTACATGACGTTTACGTTCCTGGCACAATCACTGAAGACAAAATGGGTGCATAGCAAATGTGGTGAAGAAAGCTGATGGTGCCCGGCTATCAAAAGATATAACATCTGGGACTTAAAGGCTTGAAGACAAACAAGCAGCTATCTAGCTGAGAAGCAACAAAGTCCACATGGAAAAAGCCCATCAGCCTGTGTTATCATGAGGTGTCAATGGGATCAGGTATCAGGCATCAAAGACCCAGAACAAAAAATCATATTAATGTGAAGGAGGGGGAGTACAGAGTGGAAACCCAAAGCCCATCTGTAGACAATTGGACATCCCCTTACAGAAAGGTCACAAAGAAGAGATGAGCCAGGGTGCAGTATAGCACCAATGAAACATACAGTTATCCTCTGGTTCTATAATGCTTCCTCCCCACCACTATCAAGATCCCAGTTCTACCTTGCAGGTTCTGCTAGGCCAGAGCATGAACATGGGTACAAATAAGAGCTGGAAACACAGGGAATACAAGACAGATAGGCCCTCAGGACCAATGATGGAAGTGGTGATGCCAGGAGGGTGGGGGGAGAGAGAGGGAGCTGATCACAGTGATCTGCATATAACCCCCTCCCTGGGGGATGGACAGCAAAAAAGTGGGTGAAGGGAGACATTAGTCAGTATAAGACATGAACAAATAATATGTTATAAATTATCAGGGGCTTGTGGGGGAGGGACAGGGGAGATGAGCTGATACCAAGGGCTCAAGTGGAGAGAAAATGTTTTGAAAATGAGGGCAACAAATGTACAAATGTGCTTGACAGAATGGATGTATGTATGTATTGTGATAAGAGCTGTATGAGCCCCCAATAAAATGATTTTTTAAAAATAAAATGACTATTTCAGCGTTTGTACTCATCCCCCCCACCCTACCCTGAAGTAAAGAGTTAAATAGAACTTGATAAAAGATAACTTCAGGCAAAACTTCCGTGGGCCTATTCTGATCCATTGGCCACGAGCTTCTGGCTTCTAAAGTCTGAGGAGAAGAGGAAGAAGATCCCCGGATGCCAAGGAAACTGGTTGACGAAGCTGGACTCCACAGCCAGGAGTAACTTGGAGAACGATCTGGTTTGAAAATGGACTTATGTGTCCCTCCTCTCTTTCGTGTGCTGTGCAAGAAGGGGGAACCCTGTTCTTCCTTTTTTTTTATTCGAAGGAGGCTAGGATAACGTTATTTTGTATGAGAAGCTACATTCTATAAAGAGCCTGCTGCGTGGCCAGTGGGTAGACGAGAAAGGACGCCCTACAAATTGTAGATAAGGTTGATGTCATCAACAGACTTGGAATTACCACAAGACATGACTCAGGGGAAAAAGATAAAGTAGAAGTATCCTCACTTTTTATAAGACAGGTGTTCTCAGAGGAAATCTTAACATGGAAGCCAACTTTTGAAAAAGGTAATCCTCTATAAAAACCTAGATATGGAAATTAAAACAAACTTGGGGTCTCGTGCTATACAACTAAATTAGCAAGAATGCTGAACTATTTCTTGGTTGTGGTGAGGTTAGAGTGAAGCCTTTCATAGTCTGGGCTGGTAAAATTGCAAATTGATATAACCATTTAGAAAAGCAAAATGAAAAAGAAAGAAGCACTTCTTGGACAAAAATAGCATTCATAAGAAATGAGGTAAAATTGGAAACTTTTTTTTTTAGAGAATGACAGCATAACCCACATTACTTTAAATATATCTGGAAACAACCTAAATTTTAAAGAGTAGTGGAAACAGTTTAGTTAATCCTAATACATCAGCAAACGGGAACTGAAAATGACATGTACAGAAATCTTAAAACTATCTCTTCAAAAATTGATGGTGCCTGGCTATCAAAAGCTATAGCATCTAGGGTCTTAAAGGCCTGGAGTTAAACAAGTGGCCATCTGGCAGGGAAGCAAGAAAGCCCACGTGGAAGAAGTACACCAGCCTGTGTGATCATGAGGTGTTGATGGCAAGAGGAATCACAAGTTCAAAGAACATGCATCCAAATTGATAGGAAGAGAACTAGATATAGTAGAGACCCAATGTCCACCAGCAAGACAAGCGGACAGCCCCCCTTAGTAGGGCCTCATGGAACGGAGGATAAATCCAGGATGTGATGTGGTACTGATGAACCACATCACTGTCCTCTACTTCTTTAAGAGTTCCTTCCCCTACTGTTATGGTCCATATATGATATACCTCATTGGTCATGTTAGACTTGTGTATGTTCATTTTTTCATTTAAGATTGCTTGGTACATTGGACAGTCAAGATAGATGACTTCTCAGAGATACTGACAGGAGTAAGGGTATGGGAATTGGGGGGTAGGGAGGGGAGGAATTGACAGCATTGATGGTTGTATAGACCCACCCCATGGGATTGAACCACAGAACTGTATGGGAAGGGAAGGGATATATGAGCAAGATATGTCAATACAATTATTCAAAAATACATAAATAAAACTATCTCCTCATTCTATAAAAACCTGAAAACTAAATTTCAGAAAGACAAATAAAAATGGCCTATTTCCTATGTTACCTATGTTTAAAAAATGAGCATGTACATATTTTATTAAATATTGTTCCAAGAGGAAGTCAATGGTAAAATAGAATCTGATATAAGAAAATCTGATCATTCATATTTTATAAGACAAGGAAAAACACTATAGTCTTTACCTTTGCATATTATTTTCCAGTATCATTAATCAAGGAGAAATAAACAGACATATATGTATATATATATATATCTTTATACATTTTTTTCTTGCTTACGTGAAAAAAAGTTGAACTCCGAACAAAATGGCAATATAAAAGTCTTGAGAATTCAGTAAACCTTCAAAACTCAATTACCTTTAATAATGACTCTCCCTTCATACTCTGTAAGAGGCATTCTGTCTTTCCAGTTCAGAAAATTTGCAAATTCGAGGTAGTTAATCATGCCATCTTGGTCCACATCACAGTAGTCAAATAGCTGGTTCAAGAGCTTGTCATCTAAATGCAGGTTGGCCTGGTCACAAGCTTCCTGCAGCTCCGCTTTGTCGGTCATCCCATCGCCCTTCTGTTAGGCAGGAAGCACAAAAGGTGAGCCGAGCATTCGTCTCGAAGAGCAGAGTATGCAACAGCCATCGTGTAGTTAAGGAAGAAAGGGGGGGAAAGCCCTACTACATAAATTCAAAGAATTTGTCTCAATTCTCAGATCGGAGAAGTGAAGTATTAAGTGAGATTGGCCTTCCTTGTGTGGATAATACATGCAGTGTAATCCCAAACCCCGGTTCATATAGGCTGTGGCTCAGGCACATTGATCATTCTTCATAATTCTCTCCCCCGCCCCACCCTTTAGACATGTCGTTTACAGAACATCTGGGTGAACAAGCAAATTCTGAGGCAGGGGGGGAACTGAAAAGAACCAGTACTAAACCCCGGATGTAAAGACAGCTAGCTGCCTGAAGGAAGGTGCCCCTGTGGTTGTGAATGCTCGTGCCCCCTGCAGGTGAAACCATGTGAAACACGTTTGCTCTCCCATTTGGAGCTCAGGCCCCACGCTAACACTTATCGTTCAGGTTCATCTTGAGAACGGGAGGAGGGAAAAGAGACTGCCCCCTTTCAGACAACAATCAGACAGGCTCACCTACAGTGATCTTGAAGAGAGGCAATCTGGGCAGAAACTTTGACTGATTGCCGTGGAAGAGGAGGCAGGGTGCATAAACCAGGGCACCTAGTGCCTGATTGGACATGCTACTGGTCAGCCCTCCTGTACTTGTTGTTGACTTTGACTCAAGATGACCCCCTGCCCCCACCCCCATGTCCCAGAGTAGACCTGTGCCCCAGAAGGTTTTCTTTTCTGTTTAAATGTATTTTACGGCAGTGGTGTTGAGAATACATATATACAGTGGAACAGATATCAAGTCAACTGTTTCTACAACTGCAGCTAAGTAAATTCTAGGCACCCAGTTGCACCATCATTCTCATCCTCCTCTTCTTGAGTTATTCTTGAGTTATTCTTCCTCCATTAACCTAAACTCACTGCCCACCAGGCTTCCTATAGAATATTGCAAGTTGTTGTTTGCCATGTGACCCTCAAAGACCACAATTCTTAAGATAGAAGCTCGTTACTAGTCAAGCTAGTAAAGTTGTTCAGGTTTTTAAAAAGATTTCAGGGCGCAAATTTGGTGTCAACTTAAAAGATCATTTCAGTAGTGTTTCAGGGATTGGTCCAGCCCCTACGGCTCCAGAAAGTCTGGAGCACATGAGTATTTTAAAATCTGTTCTGCAATTTCTCCCCTTTTGATCCATAAAGTTTTCAATGGCTGGTTTTTCACAAGCAGGTCACCTGGCCTTTCTTGCAAGGCTCCTCTGGATGGACTCAACACTCCAACCTTGTGGTCAGCAGCACATGAACTATTTGGAGCCCTCAGGGGCTTTGTGGTCCCTCATGTTACTTTACTCACTGTTGCCGAGGCATTCCGACTCATAGTGACCCTATAGGACAGGGCAGAAGGTCCTCTGTGAGTTTCCCAGTAGAAAGCACTGTCTTTCTCCTGCAGTTAGCAGCCCAACACATACCCATTGTGCCACCAGGGCTCGTGGAGTCTGTCAAGCCAGGATCAAATCGATTTGGAAGGGACAGCAAAAGAAACCTGACTTCGACTTTAGGTTGTTGCAGTGGATTCGGGCTGCGATAAGGAAATTTCGCCCTCTCACAGGAATTCCTCTGAGATAGATTACCCCACGGGGAAACCAAGTGTGAATCCTCGACTCATTCAGACTCATATCTGGCTGCCAGGATTTGGATTTTCTGTGCGAATGAAGCCCCCACCCCACCACCACACCACCCCACTGGAAACTAAGAAATGAAACGGTCCCAAAGGACTTTAGATGCAGTCGACTTGTGCCCTGAAAAACATCTCTAACCCTTGAAACCAGGTGAAGATTTGGAAGAGTAGCTTGGCAATGGAGCAGCAAATGCCCGGGCTGAAGGTGGGCTCCTTAGTGAGAGCTGCCGGCCAGCCCAGTTGACCCAAACACGGCACTGGTTCAGCAGAATATCGCTGTGGGCTAGAGTTGCTAAATCCAGAGGTGGCCCCCGCCCCCGCCCCCCACAGCCCTAAATAGACTACATTAGTAATGATAGTGTTGTTGCCCCATCACAGGTCTTTATGTAGACTGAAAGTATTGGTAATTGGTTCGGTTGCTTGGCACTCAGCCACCACACCTCAAAACATGAAGGAAGTATTTCTTACTGGGGCAGAGCCACGTTTCCATCTGTACCCTCGATTCCTCACTCACACTATTGGACCTCAGCTGCTTTAACAGAACCCAAATCACGTGCTAGACATTTCCCTTGTCCCCATAGCCACCTGCACCTATCCAAAGAAGGGTGAGAGACTCAAACATTCATGGCTCTGTTGGACAGAGGATGCCAAATTCATCATATGCTCAGTTCTTTCGTGGGGAGGAGATGTATACATGGAGCTAGTAGGGTTTGGACCAAGTTCGAAGGAAGGAAGGAAAGCTAACAATCTACTGCTATCTGGGCTTACACTGCTGAAAGGTCATGGGTATTGACACGTGACATGCCTAGAATTGGGATGCTTGTAAGTGCCATGAGGAATCCTCCCATCTGGAAGAGCCACGTGGAGAATTGCTAGTCCCTTTGGGGCATCACCACCCAAATGACCTTTTTGACCTACGAGGGACTCTTGCTTTTGAATCTCTGTAAATGTTGAACTAGAACCTCTGTCACGGAGAGACAAACTCCACCTGGAGGTGAACTTTGTAAATTCGGACGCTTTGCACGGTTACCAAGTACACACCTTTTGCAAAACGCGCTCTTAGCTTGTTACTAAACTCTTGCTGAAATTGAAGGCCTTGTGGCCTCCTAACCTGATAACCATTCTGGAGAGGGGTGAAAAGAGCCAGACCAGCTTCCTATATAAATGGAATATTCAAGAACACAGGCAGCTTGATCCCAGTGACAGCTCAGATTTACTTTACAATGGCAGGGGTGGCACGGAACCCTTTGAAGAAAACAATGATCCCCTACTCTATCACCTGAAGCAGTCACTGGCTTGAGGGGGGCCCTCAATTCACAGAGGCGCCTGTAAATTCCTGGTTCACTGATGAAACGTAATGACCTTCACTGGGGGTTGCTGTAGCTGTTAAACCTCAGCACAAGCTATGAAAGAACCTAAAATAGACATGGCCACTCCACTCGATGGGCTTTCTCATGTCACAGGCCAATATGCCCCTTGGTGAGCCTTGTTATGTCTTTACAGACTTGGGCTGTTGTCCCTTCTCTAGTTGTTTGGGTTTTCATTTGAAAACTAGACAGTAGCCGCATAAGAACACTCCTCCGAGTGTTCACAAACAATGGAAACATATCGTGGCTGATGATTGAATCATGAGGTCATTCAGTATATGCCCAGGGTAATGTTCCATGTTCTTAACTAGAAAAACTGAAAGGCAGCTGCTAATGGACCTGAACTCATCCATATTGCCACCACTGAAGCCTGGCTCCACCATCATAGCAGCCAAGACAGCCTACCCAGGATTATGGACAGATCACAGAGGATACTACATTTCTGATGCAGATTCTACAGCAGCATCCTTCTGTCAAAAATTGAGCCAGGAGACAGCCCAAAACAGCAGCTCAGTCACACACCATGCCATGCCCTGCAGCACAGAAGCAGGAAACCAAGTGAGATAGACGATGACGATCTGGGCGCTGGGACAGCAAACCGAAGGATGGGGAATTTGACCAAACCTCACAGAGGAAAAGAAACCAAATGATACCAGCCAACAAAGAGAATCGTGGACTGTAGGGACCCTACAAGACTGCCGAGTGCAACTGGAAACACAGGGAACCCAGGGCGGATGAGCCCTACAGGACCAGTGGTGTGAGTGGCGAAACAGGGAGGGTAGAGGGAGAGTAGGTAGGAAAGAGGGAACCGATTACAAGGAACTATATGTGACCTCCTCCCTGGGGGATGGACAACCGAAAAGTGGGTGAAGGGAGACGTCGGACAGGGCAAGATATGACAAAATAACAATTTATAAATTATCAAGGGCTCATGAGGGAGTGGGGAGCGGGGAGGGAGGGGGAAAATGAGGACCTAATGCCTGGGGCTTAAGTGGAGAGGAAATGTTCTTTGTTTTTTAATTGAACTGCTGACCTTGCAGTTAGCAGCCTAGCATGTAACCCATTACATCACCAAGATTCCTTTCTACTGGTGTAGAGTGCCCCTTTTCTGTTTTCCCTGGCTTACTGCTCCCTGGGCAATGAATGTACAAATGCACTTTACACAATTGATGTATGTATGGATTGTGATAAGAGTTGTATGAGCCCCTAATAAAATGATTTTTTTAAAAAAAAGGCTGCCTAGTGCATTGTGGTCACTTTGAGACAAAGCAAGAAACATTCTCAGACAGGGAAGGCAGGGAAGGAACTTACAGAATCATCAATAGACCACAGAGATACTGTACAGACAAACCCAGAGTGAGGTAAAGTGAATAGAACATAAACTGGATCGACAGGGGGAGAGTACAAGAAGGTAGGTCCCCCAGGTTAAAATAGAGCAGGGAAGAAGCCATAAAATCAGGACAGGAATACTTACCAGTAGTAGATGGGTAATGCTGATGTAGTAGAGGATCTGGGGGGAGGGGGGAGGCGGGGCTAGAGTTTGAACTCTAGACAATGCCCTTTCCTCCTTGCGCAGGGTCCTGATTGCCATAGGCACTCAGCAGAAAGAACACCAGAGCCCACATCAGAGATGGGGAACACTCTTCTGCATCCTGCTTTCCTGTGACTAGAGGCAAGACCTCACCCCTATTACCCAATGTGTGCATTGTTGCACCCAAAACCCTGCAAGCAGAGGCTGGTGCCCACCCCAGCCACACCCACCAGGGATCCTCAGTGCACCCTGACGCACTGGTGGACCTGAGACTGGAGGCTCATACTCACTCACGCTGACCATCCCTGCACTGCTTGCTCACCCAACCAGTGGTGTGAGTTCCTGGGCCACTCAGTCAGAGACTAGTGATTCATAAACCCTTAACCCA